ACTGCCCTAACGACTGCGACTACCGAACCGACTTACATATTTCTGGATTCAACTGTCTATATAAAGAGCAACTGTAAAATAGTAAAATTCAATTACCAAAATTATCAATAAATCAGAATAAACTGTTTAATAATTTTTATTAATTAATTATATTTCAATTTAGTTATAATAGGTTATGTGAATTAATAAAAATTAACATTATTAATTGAATTAATAATAAATTAAGTCTTAACTTTACAATTTGGAATGTTTCATAAACTATAATACGAATACAGATTAATAATAATTATTATTATATCTGCATTTAAAATGAATTTAGTATTTAATATTAATTTAATTTAACATTATAATTTATAATAATAATGAATTATTAATGCAATATTGAAATTTTTATAAATTTTAAATTTAAATTATTAATAATCATTATAGTAAGAAATTATTCTATTAATGATTAATAATAATTTAAATATAACTGTATTTCAATTATAATGCAAATACTTCTCATAATATGTACTGACTGGTATAGTAAATTACTAATATTATGAAACAAAATTTATTATTAATTAACTATATTAAATAATTACAAGTAAATATACATATATTAAATTAATATATTATAAATATACATTAAATAAATATATTAAATAATATTAAAAGAATGGTCCGAATGTTTTGATTTATAGAATAATGTATTCTGAAATGTAAAAAATAAATTTGAAAGATTTTATATGTATACATATATAAATTTTCATTAGACTTTACCAAAATTAGAAAGATGTACCAAAGTTTTTATAGGTTATGTGTTCACACATTTCAGAAATAGTCAAGAATTTCAGAAATGGTCACAGCTTCGAAAATGGTGGGAGTAAAGTGGGAGGAGCTTGGAAAGTATTTGGTTAGGAATGGTGAGAAACGCTCGAAAACGTCAGAAGTGGTGAGACTGTTCAGGAATGTTCAGAAATTCTGACCATTCATGACGATTCCTGATTTTATTTTTAGTAGGGTATATACATATATTTCAAATATCTTTGTCTCCTTCTTTCTAGATACTAAATAACATTATCGGTCCCTGTTTATAACTTATAAACAGAGACCGATAATGTTATTTAGTATCTAGAAAGAAGGAGACAAAGATATTTGAAATATATGTATATATATGTTAGGCTCAAAAGCCGAAAACGGCCAATGGCCGAAAAAAACAGCCAAACCTAGTTTTGGCAAGTGCAGTTTTGCCAAAACTGGGTTTGGACGTTTCACTTCGGCCATTGGCCGTTTTAAATTGCCAAAACTAGTTTTGTCAATTTGACTTTTGTCAAAACTAGTTTTGTCAAATGTCGATTTGCCAAAACTAGTTTTGGCAATTTTACTTTTGTCAAAACTAGTTTTGTCAATTTGACATTTGCCAAAACTAGTTTTGTCAATTTGACATTTAACAAAACTAGGTGTTATGGATGCAGAGCTGAAAAAAAATACGTCAATATTTCGAGGCCTATAATTGACATTTATTTATCGTTGTGTGAAGAGTGTTAACTAAAGAAAAAGACTAAAAAACGTGGATTAGTTGTTCGTCCTATATTGTCCAGTAAAATGAATAGTAGATGCCAAGTGGACCTCATCGATATGCAAAGCGAAAAGGACGGCGATTTTCGCTTTATTATGAATTACCAGGACCACTTGACGAAATTTACCATGCTCCGCCCTTTGAAGAATAAAACCGCTGACGAAGTTGCATATCATTTACTTGATATATTTTGTATATTTGGTGCTCCAAATATTCTCCAGTCCGACAACGGCCGCGAATTTCGGAACCAAATACTTACAAATCTCGCACAAAAGTGGCCCGGATTAAAAATGGTTCACGGGAAACCCCGCCACTCGCAAAGTCAGGGCTCAGTAGAAAGGAGTAATCAAGACGTGAGAGATATGCTTGTTACATGGATGGCTGACAACAACACTAAAAATTGGTCAGAAGGATTGCGCTTCGTTCAGAGCAAGGAAAATCAGGTTCTCCATATAGGCATTAAAACTAGTCCCTATGAAGCAATGTTTGGCTGTCCACAGAAAATTGGATTGATTGATTCACCATTATTGGAAGAGGTTTACTCTTCCATTGAGACTGAAGAGGAACTGGAGCAACTTTTGAATACCAAAAACACTGAAGGTGTGGGTGACGAAAATGCAATAGCTGAGAATGCTTATATTGACGAGGAAGTTTCGTTACTTACTAATAAGTGTCATATTTGTGGACTTGAAATCGACGATACTTCTATCTCCGATAAAATGACTGACGAAGGCAAACTTATCTGCAATGTGTGCTGTAGAAAGAAAAAAATCATCAATACACGGGGAGCAGCAGCAAAAGGACTACAACAACAAGCAGAAAAAATGCTTGCAAAATCTAACGAAACATTAGCACCGGTTCCTGTTGGATCAAATGTCGTTCTCACAATTTGAAATGCCTCACCTAGTTTTGTCAAATGTCAAATTGACAAAAACAGTTTTGGCAAAAGTCAAATTGACAAAACTAGTTTTGGCAAAAGTCAAATTGACAAAACCAGTTTTGGCAAAAGTCAAATTGCCAAAACTAGTTTTGGCAATTAGAAACGTCCAATGGCCAAATTTAAATTGCCAAAACTAGTTTTGGCAATTTAAAACGGCCAATGGCCGAAGTGAAACGTCCAAACCCAGTTTTGGCAAAACTGCACTTGCCAAAACTAGGTTTGGCTGTTTTTTTCGGCCATTGGCCGTTTTCGGCTTTTGAGCCTAACATATATATATAAAATTTAAAGAGAAACGAAAGCTTTGCTTGAGTACCTGGCCTATTGTTTGAAGGGTTTCTTTCAACCAGTAGGCAGGAGAGATGCCAGCGACCGTCTCCAAACGCAACTGAGCTTGCGCTACAACAAATGCTCTTATTGGTAGAATAAAACTTGTCCATTAGAATGCTTTATATATAAATCGTTTTAAATAAACGCGCTTTTTTTAACCAATAAGAGCATTTTTGTAGCGCAAGCGCAGTTGCGTTTGGGGACGGTCGTTGGCATCTTTGTTTATAACGCAGAAAATCTAACGCTATTGCTTTCTTTCTCTTTCGAAAGTAAATAACATTAGAATGTCTCTCTTTACCTAATTTGCATATCTACTCGTTTCATATTAAGGATAAAGTATATATATTGTATTTAAATGTATAGAATTAAAACCAATTATAGACAAAAAATTTGCACTGTTAATAAAAATTCATTTTATCTTAAAAATCATGTTGCTGTACAATAAAATGTTATTATTTATTGAAAAGTAAATCAAAAATCTTATTCTTTGCATCAAGACGAATCGATTGATGTATATAAAGTATATATTCTATTGAAAATTATAGAATTAATTACAATCAAATTTGAAAAATTCACTTTTTTACTAAAAATTTTTTTGTTTATTTAGATTTATATTACTGTACATAAGAAAATTTTATTCTTTCTATTAAGACGAATGCACTTTATTTTGTAAATGTTAAATTGTATTAAAAATGATTTAAAAATGAAATATATTTATCGTTAATGCTTCCTCCATGAGGAAGCAAATTTTTTTTGCTGATCGTAAAGAGGAAGCAAAATGTTCATGTAATGAACATCTGGATTTACAACTTGTTTTAATTGGCGAATCAGTGAAAAATGACTGAAATTTCAGTTATTTTTAACTGATTTTCAGTGAAATTACACTGATTCAAATCGCGAGAATAGAGTCACTGATTCTCAGTCAAATTTCACTGATTTTCAGTGGAATTTCACTGATTCAGATTTAGAGAGCATTTAAAGTTTGAGAATCATTTTAGTGCAATAATTGCATTCTTTGCAATTATTTGTTCAATTTGTGTATATGATAAATATCTATAGGTATTTAGGGTCGCTCTTTACGATTCTGAGGTCAGATTTGCAAAATTTTTAAAAATCGATTCGATTTGCCTGACATTTTTTACTCAGTGCTCGGGACGCCGGTCAGTTCAAGACCCCATAAAAACGAAAATATTCTTCGGATCAAAAAGTCGCTATACACACATATTCTGCATATATATAGCTTTAAAAAAAATTTTTTTTTAAATTAATTTTTTTGACTCCCGCAATGGGAACCTCCCCTTAAAGTGCACATTTTGAGCTTTAATATAAGACGTCTTAAAAATTGTTAGCCCATCAGGTTAAGGAGAAAAAATACTTAGAAAACACACAAAAACACGTTTTTTGGGTCTTTACCCACACTTTTCTCCAAATTCTGACGTGCTGGGCAATGTTGAGTCTATTTAGTTTCCTCAATATAATATATACCATTGGCTATAATTCTTTATTATAGAATAATTATATTAAAGTGTTAAGATATAAAATTTCAAAAAATACAAAATTTAAATTTTTTGTGAAAAATAGAAATAGCGATTAGGGGAGAGTGGGGCAAAATGGGATAGGCGGGTCGATATATATCATTCATATTGATAAGAAACTATCATTAATTATGAAGAACTTTAAATCTTTATTCTAAAAAATATAAATATTTATCGAAATTAACACACTAAAAAAAAAGTTTTACTTTCAGCCTATTTTTGAGGCTGAATTTAAGGTGTAAACGGAGTCAGCCCCGTTAAACAAGGACAGACTTATGTGAAATACATGGGCTGAATTTAAGGTGTAAACGGAGTCAGACTTTTTTTTCCTGTGAAAGTGCTTAAAAACTTTTTGGAATAATGCATTTAATTTGGCAAGTGTGGAATCTTTTTCAGCACTTATTCTAAAGTAATTTCCAGTAGAATAGATTGTTAAATTGTTTACAATAACTTAAAAACATTACATTTTGTTTTAATATGCAGTGTGGGGAATACCGGATGCTACGCCGTAGATATATTTCGTGACTAATTCCGGGAAAATTTAAATATATTTTTACTTTTTGTCAGAAAGAAAATTTCACTTTAAAACTCGAATACTTAAAAATAATTATGTAGATTAATATTTTTAACTGTTTACTTCTTTAATAGATGTTGCAGGTTCAATTTCAACCCCAGTGGCTCCAGATGATTCTGGATCGTCGATTTCCGTTTTCAATGAAAGTAGCAATCTACCGCGATAAATCGGTAATGGTACCGAACAATTTCCTATGCAGGAAAATTTTCTGGCTGATCCAATGCCATAAAAGTGGATGAATGAGGGTCCAAATGTAGGTAGAAATCCTGATGAAAACAAAAAAATGATGAATTGAATCGAAATTGAAACTAATTTTTTTACTTAATAAGTTTATCTTTTATATATATTTTTTTCTTACAGAATTTTGGGAAATCTACCTACAGATTCCTTGGATCCCGCACTCCAAGGAATATTTTTTTATTGTTGTTATTAGTATTAATTAATAGTAGTAAAATAATAATAATATTCTATAATAATAATAATAATAATAATAATAATAATGATAATAATAACATAAAAATTATATTATTGGTATTATTTTCATTTTTAGTAATAATTACTAATTATATTGCGGATTAAAGACTTTTATTTTGACGTTAAAAAATTATAAACTCTCGAGAATTTCATTATTATGATTATTAAATAATTTACACCAGTTAAATTTTTTATTATTATTTGGGAAATGTTTTTATTGATATTCTCGGACGGTAAGTGAAATTTTATCGACAATGAAAGTCTATAAAGAATTAGGATTTCTGTTTTCAATTGTTGTGCCATCTGTCGTTCAGAACTAGAAGACACACTGTAATTATTTAATTTCAATTGATATAAAAAAGAAAAGAATATAAATTATTATTTATATTATTATTAAAAATTGGAAAAATGCAAGCTAAACTCGCACAGAAATCGCGGGTTCTGTACACCAATAAACGTAAGAGACACAAAAACAAATACATTAACCATAGTGTAATCAATAAAACAGGAAGAAATTTTTTAGTACATTTAAAAAAAATTGTTTTTCCTCTTTTGATAACACTATGAATTAAGAAAAGAGAATTTAAGAAGCTTTAGTGAGAAATTAATTCGAAGAGATTGTTAACTTCCACCTTTAATAAAATTACTACCGAATAATAAATTCCTTTCCTTTAATTTAATGATTTAATTTTATTTATTTTAAAAATTGTTCCCTAATAAAAGAAATTAATTTTCAATGTTCATTTTGAAGAAACACCTTTTTCCTAGTGAATACTCGTCATTTATTGAATAACTCAGTTTCTTGCAAGTGCAGATATAATAATGAATTTAATATATAAAGGAACTAAGGAAGCACAGAATAATATGTATTTGCGAAACATACGTGCGTCGCTTCCGCCGTTTAAGTTACGTTAGGTGTTAGTTTTAAAATATGGTTGCGAGAGTTTGAGATGTCCAAGAGAATCGCAGATCGAGAAAGACTTTTAAATTCGTCCCGCCTGCAGATCTATCCAAGCCTCGAACAGGAAACAGAAAAAGCCCCCTATTTGGACAAAAAAATGGAAATCAGTTACACTGAGAGAAGTCCAGGGCGTAATAGTTCCCGCTAGACGTCGCTATAAGCTACTGTTCTTGTTGCGTTTGAGATGTTTCGAATCTAGGGCTCAGACGCCCCGAGTCCGTCAAACAATGTTCCCGCATGTGAGAGAACAACTCGTGGCCGAAACTAAAAGTTGTAAGTAATCCCGCTTCGGGACGTTCCACGTTTTTTATCGGGGCTTGAGACGTCCCGATCGAGGGTTCACATAAGAACATTCAAAATTATCACTCAAGCCTCGCACGGGACGTATTAGTTCCCGGACTTCTCTCAGTGTATACACAACTGATTGCTCAACTTCGCTTCTTTATGTTCGAGAACTATAGAATTATCTTGCAAGGAAAAATTGCTGAATTTGGTAATAAAAACTGCGAGTGTTGCAATTTGCTCGTCCTAGAGGACTCTTCTCACCTCTTAGCAATTTGTCCAGCCTATGTAGAAATTAGATTAAAATATTTTAGAAGTCAACAGGCTATAGAGGAACCTGGTGAGTTTTGGACGGATCTGCTGGCATCAGATGATGTTCAGAAGCTGAAGAGCGTTTTTATTTTTGTTGTAGAGATACTTAAAGTTCGTTCCTAAAATCAGACAGAATAATTTAATTTAAAAAAAATGAAGAAAAAAAAACTTTTTTTGTATAAATTCTTTGAATTTTAAGACAAAATAAATTCTATTCTATTCTAGTTTTAAAATATATGCACATGTATAAAGTATGTGATAGTGTGTTGCGTTTATAAGACAGTAGATGTATATACTGCGAATAATTTAAGTGATTCTAACAGAAAACGAATTTCTTAAAACGCATTGTTCGCTACGTTTAAATATGTAGAAGTTAAGGGGGGCACATAAATGATGAGGGACACCCGATTCACTCCACAAGAGTGCCGTCGGTTCATCTATGGTGTACGGAACCCTAAAAATGATGAAAATAACAATTACTCTGAGTCATGATAAATAAAAGTATTTACTTTTAAAATTTGAAAACCATTCAAATCGTCAACATCTTTAAGGAGGTTGTTTACAGGTATGCAGACCTTCAGAAAAAATATAGAATTGACATTAAAGAATTTTTTAATATTATTGTTATTCGTATCTTCTGGAAGAACAAATATCAAGTTTCAAGAAAAAAATTTGAAACTTACAAAAATTGTTTATTTAGTCATTTTCTATATTATGATCAAAGTTTTCTTCATATTACAATTAATAATAAATTAATAATAATTAATGAAATAATTAACTTGACTGCTCAGATTTATAAACAAATACACCGCTTTAAGGGGTTACACCACTCTAGAGCCCTAAAAAAGGCCTAACTTTGACAATTTATTTTAGGAGTATGGAAAAAATAATTGAATTTCTCTTTTTTAGGCTTTATTAAACATGTATTTAAGTATATAAAAAAATTTTTATTTTCACATGTTGATAAAAAATGGCGGCTTTTAAGCCAATCTTTGGAATCACCTTCTTCAAGAAGGCCTCTACGGGCGACCGTAATTCCAGGAACTCGTGATATCTGAATCAAAATCAATAACGGGATCTTAATCTACATAAGATTTGCTAGTAAAGTACGTACGATGTTAGTTTTACATCAATTTTTCGCAAAATGGCGGATTTTTTAAAAAAATGGTCAATTTTTGACCAAAAAAATTAGCATTAAATTGTTTATAAAAAAAAAGTTGCAATGATAACAAAAAAATCGTACGTACTTTACTAGATTATGTTACTGTGAAGCTACAGTTAAAATTTCAGGTGGATATGTGCTATAGTCTCCGAGAACCATGGTCGCCCGATTTGAAAAATGCAGTTTCGAGAAAAAGTTGTTTAAAGTTTTAAGTGTTGAAAATTTTGTTATATGTGATGCCGTTTTTCAGCTGACTGACTCATACATACAGCAGTATTAATGAACAAGCACTTCATAGCGACCTTTTGGAGAACTATTAGAGCCCTAAGGCCCTGTTGGTGCATTAGTGCAGAGGGGAAAGGGGTAGAAAGGGGACACAAGCCGCTCCGAACCCTCCGACATTACAGCGGATTAGAAAGGAAAAAAAATTATTTTTTCACCATTCTACCAATCGAATTATGTTTTTAGGACCCTAAAGTGTACTTTAAGCAAAAAAAAAAATTTTCGATTTTTTGAAAATCCTAGAGTGGTGTAACTCCTTAAAAATATGCTTATTTGTTTAAAATTTTTTTTAATTAAATCACTTCTTTAAACAAATAAGCATATTTTCAAAACGGTGTATTTGTTTATAAATCTGAGCGGTCAAGTTATAGAGAATAATTTTCTGAAGAAAATAAGCGATCATTGACTTAAATCGAATCAGTTTTGAAAAAGTTTAACCTTTTAATATGAAGAAAACTTTGATCATATAGAAAATGACTAAATAAACAATTTTTGTAAGTTTCAAATTTTTTTCTTGAAACTTGATATTTGTTCTTCCAGAAGATACGAATAACAATAATATTCAAAAATTCTTTAATGTCAATTCAATATTTTTCCTGAAGGTCTGCATACCTGTAAACAACCTCCTTAACAATTAAGACGGACGAGTGATAAAATTATTTTTATGTCTACATTATTAGTATAATTTATTTCTATTTTTGTCGTATTTTATTGCTTGAAAATAAAAGTAAAAAATTAGAAAAAGAATAAGTTTACTTCAAATTCTGAAAAAATGGAATTTTTTATTATTAAATATTGTTTTAATATTTTTACCATTTTCACCAGCATGTGATATATCCTTTAGATTTAAAGTATAAATAGCAATTTCATTGCTACTGCAACTACGTATTCGATTTTTCAAAGCAATTCTAACACGATGAAATAGAGGCGGAAACATTTCTTTGATAATGATTTTTTCATCAAATCTGTATTCGAAAGTGCGTTTTCCTTGACTTGTTACTGCCTAATTTGAACATAATTATTTTACTTATTAATTTTTTTACATTTTTATGGTTTTTTTAAATACCAAAAAAATGAAAATAAATTGTTATTGTTATTAAGGGGGGGTAAGGTTTTAACGGTGAAAAAAGAGCATGATTTAAAAATTTTATTTTTGTCGATACGCAAAAAGTTAATTTATTTTATCGCTTTGCATATAATATTGCAACATTTGAACAATATTTCTCTAAATTTTCATGATAAATTATTAAGAATTGAGCGAGATAATGAGATTTTCCGCAGGCGACTTAAAAAAAATTGATTTGCGGTGTACGCTCTAACACGCAACAGAATCATCTAAATCAAAAAAATCAAAGTGCATATGTCAAAGAAGATGTTTTTTGAGATAAGTCTGGGAGCTTTTTTTTAAATTACTTGTCAAAATTTATACACTGGTGTGAATAAAAAATCTCCAATTGTTCCTTAAAGCAAATGTTTTAAGTTAAAAATGTTACGTCATCGCGACGTATATTTATACTTTGATATTTTGTAAATTATTTAAAATCTGAATCCTCCTATTCTTGTAACCCAATCAAATCGATCCAATTCTCTGACACCTGAACAGCAGATACCATATAATATTATCATTGACGATTGTCTCCCCCTACAGGGTCACTCACTGGACTAATACAGGGACGAAGCACTTGCGCCTAAATTAATCAATAGAAAAAAAATTACCCAGAAGTAATAAAAGTGGGTGGCATTATAATTTCTTTCCATTGCAAGCAACCTATAAAAGGTGACTTCGCGTCTTCTTCGTGTCAGTCCAGCAATCGCGAATTGTATTGTCATCGAGTTTATTCTTTAACTCCAGTTTCAAAAATTTCTTCAAGTACCAAGTGCATTCTTCAAGTCTCGTCTTAGTCCAGTTCATTCAAGGAGATAATTTCTACTGCGGGGCACATTTCTATTTTTCTAAGGACTGCATTACTTCTACTTCAACGTCAAGTCAATAATTCTGTCACTCCTTGGCTGAGGGGTGTTTTATCTAATATACATCGACACCTAATCTTTGGACCTTTCACTTTGGCTGGCCCAAAAACAATTTAAGGGAAATCTACTGCATTCTCTGTTAGTCTGTTTCCGCTAGACAACGTAATTTCTTCGACCTCAAACACTGAAGGAGGTATCACTTGTTAGGTCTACGACTCTAAGAATAATTTTAAAAGATAAGTAACTAATACTTTTAAATTTTGTTTCCATTTAAATTCTCGATTGATATCACAAAGTTCTAATTTTGTTTCAGTATCCCTGAAGACATCTGGATTTACTCTTTCTCTCTGATTCTAATTGCAAAGGATTCAAATAAAAACCTTAATAATTTAACTTCAATTTAACAGTTACTCTTTCTTACAAGCTGTCCCTTAATATTAGAGCCTTCCGCTGTGTGAATGAATCAGGTTTGAATCACCGATGAAGGACAATTTAAATATATATAATTTGGGTTATGTTTACCCTATTGAAAATCCCCATATGGGAAACCACATGGGATCCTATGTCAAAAACCATGTAAAACCCTACTTCCATGAAGGAAACCACGTGGTTTACCATGTGGTTTCCCATGTCAAACCATATATGAAATTGAGACAGGATTTTAGTTAGGAATAGACATGGGGAATTTGAACAGTTCATCTATGCATAAAACCATATCAAATCCCACATGTTTTTCCCAGTCAAATCCTAAACCGAATTCCATGTGAAAAACAGTATCATTTATTTATAATTATTTTCCCAAGTCAATCCCCAAGTGAAAAACAGTATCATTTATTTATAATTATTTTCCCATGTCAAATCCTAAACCAAATCCCATGTGAAAAACATTATCCGCCTTATTGAATATCCCTACATGGGAATCCACTTGGAATTTTACAAGGGATTTCACATAGGATTTTATATGGGAATTGACATAGGATTTTATGCAAGATTTCACCTAGGATTTAATGAGACATCACATAGTATTTTATTAAAGATCCAATGAAGAAATTTTCAAAGGATTAAAAATTATTTAATAAAAAATTAAATAATAAATAGTATTAGTGTTACAAGTCATCAAAAAAGTAAAAAAACGATCATTTGAAACACGTCCTCTCTGCTACAGGTTCTCAGCTTTTATATACTTCCAGAGTCGTCTCAAGAGCGAGAGAAGTCACTTTCGCCACCTAGCGGTGAAAGTATAGGAGCGACAGTAATCTTTAACATTACTAAGAAAACCATGTGGAATACCACGTAGGATTCCATGTGGTTTCCTACGTGGGGATTTACATGGGATTTTACTTAGGAATTTAAGTAGAAATAAATTCCTAAATGAATTCCTAAGTAAAATCCCATGTAAATCCCCATGTAGGAAACCACATGGAATCCTATGTGGTATTCCACATGGTTTCCTTAGTAATGTTAAAGATTACTGTCGCTCCTATACTTTCACCGCTAGGTGGCGAAAGTTACTTCTCTCGCTGTTCAGACGATTCTGGAAGTATATAAAAGCTGAGAACCTGTAGCAGAGAGGACGTGTTTCAAATGATCGTTTTTTTACTTTTTTGATGACTTGTAACACTAATACTATTTATTATTTAATTTTTTATTAAATAATTTTTAATCCTTTGAAAATTTCTTCATTGGATCTTTAATAAAATACTATGTGATGTCTCATTAAATCCTAGGTGAAATCTTGCATAAAATCCTATGTCAATTCCCATATAAAATCCTATGTGAAATCCCTTGTAAAATTCCAAGTGGATTCCCATGTAGGGATATTCAATAAGGCGGATAATGTTTTTCACATGGGATTTGGTTTAGGATTTGACATGGGAAAATAATTATAAATAAATGATACTGTTTTTCACTTGGGGATTGACTTGGGAAAATAGTTATAAATAAATGATACTGTTTTTCACATGGAATTCGGTTTAGGATTTGACTGGGAAAAACATGTGGGATTTGATATGGTTTTATGCATAGATGAACTGTTCAAATTCCCCATGTCTATTCCTAACTAAAATCCTGTCTCAATTTCCCATATGGTTTGACATGGGAAACCACATGGTAAACCACGTGGTTTCCATCATGGAAGTAGGGTTTTACATGGTTTTTGACATAGGATCCCATGTGGTTTCCCATGTGGTTTCCCATATGGGGATTTTCAATAGGGTAGTTTCGTTCTGTGACAACAAGAACATGATATTAGTCGTTTGTTTAAAGCAATTTAAAAAATTATCACAAAGTTATAATAATTATCACAAAATGATCACTTCAATTTTTCAATTTATTTTTTTGGAAATTATATGGTTTTTTCAATTGAAACTACTTTATTTCATACTTAAGAGTAAGAGTTTTGAGTTGCGCAAAATTAATTGTTAAAAATATTAAAGCTTTTTGTTGGTATTGCAACGATATAACCAACTAGCTGAAAAAGGAGACAACATCAGGAAAGTTTTATGACGGTCGTCCTAGGTAGATTTAGACCCTAACCTAGGACATTGCTTGATGTACACTGTCAATTCAGTAACTCACCAGACTCGTTGACAGAACCATCTCAAACTTATTTTTGTCATTGCTTAATAACCTCAAAGACTTTGTATCTCAATTTGATTGCTCATTTGCTTTTATTAATAAACAGTTATATACGAGTGTTTTAAGGGGACACCCAAGTCACCTAAAAACAATGCAAAAAGAGTCAACTTTCGGTACACTTTTCTCGAAAATTATTATTCCAATTGCGTTCGCCCTTTTTTCATTGGATTACAAATATAATCAATTATATGAATAAGAAGTAATACGACGTTATCTTCAATAGAAACTTTTTTATGAATATTTATACCAAAAGCAAAATAAAAATTCCATTTTCTCTGATTCATTGACTCATATCTCCGTTTGTACAACTCAAAATGATGTTAAACTTCTTATTCGTATTCTTGGAACCTTACTGAACAAAGTAAAAAAAAATTACAAATCTGTTTAGTAGATTCGGAGAAAAGTGTACCGAAAGTTTAAAAAATTGGAAAAAAACAATTTTTACAGGAGACACGAAGAAAGAAAAAATACCAAAAACTCATGTTATTCAGAATCATGTAATCAGATTTTTATGAAATTTGGAATACTTGGGTTCTTGGGAGCGCTGATTACGAATCTAAAGTCGGTTTTCAAAAATTCAAAATGGCGGATTCAATATGGCGGACAAGTTTTCAAAAATTGACTGAATTTTAATTAAACTTGACTTATTTGGGTTTTTGGGGACGCTGATTTCAAATTTAAGGTCAGATTTCAAAATTTCAAAATGGGGGATTCAATATGAGGGACAAATTTCCAAAAATTGATTGAATCATTATTCCTTCTGAAATTCAAATTTCTTTCTTATGAATTGTTCGTATTTCTCGAGAAATTCGCTCCTTTTTGTTTATTTATGGCAACAAAGTTCACTCTGCGTGTTGTATGTTCATGTAACAGTTCTACCCTCAAAATTTATAAATTGGAGATATTTTAGACTAAATGAGCCAATAATGCCTGGAGTAAAAGTGTTCAATAAAAGTAGAAAAATTGAGGGAAAAAAGAGGCTAAATTCCTCATCCTCTATTTCTAGTACTGATCGTTCGTGTTCGGTTTCACCGGTTTCTCATTTGAGCTCCTCAGAACAGAAGATTTTGAAAAATCTGGATGAATATAAGGATTATAGTTCAAGTGAAAAATATGATCTTATTGATGTGAATGTTCTCAGAGAAGCACAAGCTAAAATAACAATGTACAAGTTCTGCAAAGGGGAAGTACGATTTTGCTATTTTGAGTTTTTAAAATATAATCTCTGATTTAAAAACGGCGATATAAAAATCCCCAAGTAACAAGTTTGAAGCAAATATAATTAATTTTTTTAAATTTCGTGCTCCATATTGGATCCGCCATATTGGATTTTTGAATCATGTAGAGAAATATTTATGGAGTCGTGAATTATTCATTTTTAGTATAAAAATAGAAAATTTGAATAAAATCTAATAATTCATAAATGATTCATTGATGAATTTCAGGAAATATTATTTTTAACCCGTTGCCTGTTTGCGACCCAACGTTGGGTCGTGAAAAAAGATGGCCCAGACTGTTTGCGACCCAACGTTGGGTCGTAAAAGTTTTAGCAAAAAATAGAAATTTGTTATTTAAATTATAAAATAAATTCTTTTATATAATTATTTACATACTATATGTATCAATGATACTAGAAAAAGTAATAAATAAATAATTGTTTATTATTTTTAAGTAATATAACAATTTAAAAGATTTTGATGGACATTTTGGGGCACTAAAATGAATATTTTTCCAAACAGTGAAGGGGTTAAGAAAAAGTATCTAACTTTGCAAATTTATTTAAGATACTTCTACTCTTCAGAAAATGTTTTAAAAAGTCTTGTTCTATTCCTAATTGAGTCTACTTTTAGAAAATCAAATAAAAAAAATCGATTTTTTGTCATTTTTCCACTTAGGTGTCCCCTTAAACTAAAGATACATCTTATCATTTATTCAACCCTTCTATTATTTTTACTCTAAACTCCCATAATAATTCTAACACTTTTCTTCTTTGAAGAAGATTGACTTTGTTGCTCCATTAGATTAGTTTTATTTGATTCGCGAGTTTTTCTATTAAAAATACACGCTAATATCGTGCACGTAATCCAAAATAAAATTACACTGATTCAAAAATAATAATTTGCATGTTTTAATACTAAATATATTCAATATATCAGTAATCATCGTGAAGTAATTTTAACTTAAAACTGAAGACAAAGTTTGAACATTTTTATCAAAAATAAAACTAAGGTCTAAAAATTTTTAAAATGCATATAATCATAGAAAAACATTATACTTACTAACACTATTTTTAAATAATTTCTAAGAGTTCGAAAAAACCATAAAAATTTAGTTTTCTTATAGAAGTCCTATTGGAGACATGTTAAAAAGGCTTCGGAGATGAAATTATTTTAGTTATTGCATAAATTCAGTTGAATAAAATTGTTTAATTTGTTTTAATAATGATAAGTAAGTGCTAAATTTTTACTATGGAAATTGATAATAATTATTAGAGAGTAGATTTTGTAAAATTAATCAAGACATCAAAAATGTCACTTTCAGAAGAATCACCCATGTATGTAAAAACCGGTAATGTAACCTGTGATACTTAATTGTTCGTGCAATAGCAGGAACATTCAGTGTAAATAATTTAACTAGTAAACACCCTCTCATATAAAACTATTAATAATAAAACAGCCTAATTTTAAAACCCGAATAACACTGCGTTACAAAAAAAAATGTTGATGGAAATCGATTTTTACCATAATCTCGCTATGCCAGCAATTTTTACTATTTTGAGATAGTTTTTTTTAATAAAAATAGGTTTCGCGTGATTGTCAATCATCTTTCTATTTTTTGCTTTAAAGTTGATAATTTAAGTTTTTATTTGAGCCGTTTTAGAGATTTTTTAGCATGCTGCGTGTTTATTTTGCAGTGCTTCAAAAAGTGCTAAAAATGTTATTTTTTGACACTTTAATCTTGTTTTTTATAGGACTGACAGAATGAAAAACTTTTTTTTTGGCATAGGTATTCTTATTCAGTGATACCTAAAGTTTCAATAAATATAAGAATTTTTAAATAAACACTACATCAACATTTTTTGTAATCTAGTGTAATTTATTAATTATTATTAATTTAAAATATTTTTGTACTTTAGAAAATTTTCTCCTGTCTATCTACTCGAAATGTAACTTTAACCAGATTTCCTGATTACAGACAAGGCACCTTTTAGAGTCCTATTCTAAATATTGCATAAATTTTTGTACGGAATGAAAAAACCAATTAGTTAATATTATGAAAAAAACTTTTTTAATTATATTTGAAAGAGAAACAAAACTTCTCATCAGACAATCATAAAGTGGAGTCAACATACGATCTCTATAAATCTCAGTTAATCTGACTATATTTTCCTGTTAAAGTTTTTAGAGTGACAACAAGAAAAATAAAAATTGTCGTAACAGTGATGATGTATGTATATATACTATCATAATGTTGTCCCTTAAGTATTCATAATAAATTTTACAGGTCATAAAATTGTTTTATGTTTAGATCGCGCATGAGACTTTTTCTTCTTCTTTTCTTGTATATTACTTTAAAAACATGTTCCGCAAATGTATTTGACTTATAAATAGATATAAGAGTTGTACTTTTATATTTTGTTTTTTGCTTTCTCATTTTTTATGAGTAAGTTTTTCTTACTTTCATTCCTGCAAAGGATATTTGCACAAATGGGTTTATATCTTTTGGGTCTCGTGAGCAGCGACAAGAACCAATCGAACCTGCCAATCCATCGACTCGGTAGATTATAAAAATATAACTTGCTCTAAGTCTTGTAGGCTGCAAACCGTCACCCAAGGGAAGCAATAAATTTCTACAGTAGAATTTTTGAAATTTATTATAAAGTTCACTGAATGTGTGTAAAAGAGATATTTTTTTAATTTATTGTTTTATTTGATATATTATATTAAAAAATTATGTAAATACAATGAGTATAAAAGAATAAGATTTTTGATAATTTTAAAATTTTGCTAACAATTACCCCTCGATATCATCTTCGCCGTCAGTTTCCGGATGAACTTTCACTTTTTCACCTCTCGCCTGAACATTAATGTTACATTTAACATAACCCTTTGCTCCTGCTAGAGGATCTTTTGGATTCGTGAGCATAGCCCATTTGTGATAGTATTCATGACCTTTTAGTAACAGTAAAGAATCTAAACTCACTTACATTAAATACTTTGATTTAAATTGTTTTAACTATAGATATTTAATTTAATTTAAATAAAAATTTTAACACAAAACGTTACTTTATTTATGAATCTGAAGTTGATAACGTTTTCAATGACGCAAAAAATTTTTTTTTTAAACCAAGAAGCAAATAATTTTTCATAAAAAGTACTTAATTATTATTTTCATTACATCCTAAACAGATTTTCAATCCAATCGGGGCGGAGAAGATAATACTTACTGAAAGTTTAAGTTTTTTTTCATTTCATTTCGTCGACGTAAACATTGGTAACTTCAGTTTCATCTTTATTTTGATGAAATTATTTAATTTTAGGTCTTTAAAGAGATAACAAATTTTTTTGTGAAATAAGATATATAATGAACTATATGGTGTATATAAGTAAGTGCATGCTTGGAAGTACCTGGCTGATCCCAGACTGTAGCGACTTCGAAAACAATGCTACCGTAAAATTTGATTCGCTTCAGGCAACCTCTCAAATAAACTGATATGATAATTTTCGTACTCAGAAAAACGTCAAAACTACTTGATAGGTTGAATACAAAATACTAAAATATAGTTATAATGAATAATTTATAGTATTAATAAAGGCAATATAAATAAATGGTTAATAATTAATATCTAAACAAATCTGATCAATAATAACTAATACTTAATAATACATGAAAACTAAGACTATTTATTTGTATAAGACTATATTTAATTAAATAGTCATAAATTAGTGCAAATAATGAATAATCAATAGAATAATAAAAAAACATATATTAAGAACTTATTTATAATATTTTTTTATTTCGTTACTAAATGAATGAATGAATTTATATGTAGTAATTAATTTCTAATTATTTAAATACTCAATTATTTTAATAATTAATGAATCATTAACTATAAGTTATTAATTAATAAATAATTTAACATATTAATTTTTGTTCGCAAAGTATGTGCCATAAAATTAAAAAGTTTTGAATTGAGAATTAATTTAGTAAAATTAAATGTTCACCTCATTATAAAAGGGGTTATCTGTACGTTCTCGAACAACTGTCCTTTTTTTCTGATTGCCGACTTTTACAATGACCAAGGGATTAATGTTTTGCTGCAAATGTCTTGCTTCGAGAATTGTCACCGAAACTTGATAAGAGCCATGTTTAGGATTTCTTTTCACAAGAGGCATATTTTTTCATTTCTCTTTATTTCTACTTTGAAATGTCAACAATGAATTTGCCTCGAAACACACACTATAAAAAAACTCTTTCTTTTGTTTAATTTGTCAAAAAAATTATTCCTTTTTGTAAATAAATCTATATTTGAATATTTTTCACTTCTAATCTGACTTACCTTTTTAAATATATTTTTAAACATTAGACAAAATGAAACGACAATATCAATAATAGATAATAATAAAAATATAATTTATTACATATGGTAATAGTTTAGTAGGATGAAATTTATTTGTTTCACGAGCAGCGCTGCTGTGGATAAGGAAGAGAATTCCTGGCAATGACTTATTCCGCCCTTGTAAGTAACACATTTTATGGTAACTTAACGGCAGATTTACCTACAAAATAAAACATGAATACTTTTCTATCGACTAATGATCGGCGGGATATTTTTTCTTATAATGTATACTTCAATTTTAAAAAACCAAATTTAAAAGTTCAGAACATACGAGAAAATCAAAACAATTTTTCAAACGAGAAATATTTATTAAATAAATAAATAAAATACAATGAGAGTAGGTAATAATAATAATATTAATATCTAAAATCTATAATACATTAAGATAACAGTAATTATCAATCTAAGTCAGGATAATTATTGTTATTTTAATTTGATAGTCTGCATCAAATTTTACCTCGGAAGTGTTATTTTAACAGCGAAAATAAGGGAAATTTTTTATTTTATCCAGTCCAGATAAAAAAGATTTCGCTAGATGTTTCACCATGTAATTACACCAAACAGAGGTAAAATTGAATACTTACTAGGGTTTGGTTTATATTTTGGAAAAGTTGGTCGCCGGTCGGAATTTGAATTAAAATGGGAAAAAAATGAGCTACGCACAAGAACAGCCCATTTAATAAATATTAATCCTTGTCGACGAAGGGTTAAAGTTTAAATGAGATTTAACATGGGTTTGGTGTACTTTTGCAAACTTTGTATTATAACTTTTCCATTTCTTAAAAATTTGACTATAAGAATACGTATTTTTATAGTTTTTAGTACGCCGAACACGAATCTGATGTCAAAAATAATTGAGGCTCCGGATCTTAAAAGGGCACTTTCACCATGTAAAGTCTATGCGGAAAGTGCCCTTTTAAGATCCGGAGCCTCAATTGTTGACAGCTGCCAGTTGTAAAGAAAGCTGTCAAAAGTCTGTTAAATTTTGAAAAATGAGAATTTCCACAACTTTTACTTTATTAACTTCCACGAGTATAAAGGTTTCTTGTGAAAATTTATGTTTATACCTATATCAATTCAATACATTTTGACATATGACAGCTGTCAAATGAGTTGTCAACTGCTATAAAATCCAGTTTTCAAATAGTTTTAAATTAATTATCACAAAATTTCTGTTAACTGACAAAGAATTAAATATTATCATTTAGTGTCCTCTATTGTCATATATAATAGAACTTTTGTTTAAAAAAAATATCATAGATTAAAATAATTCATTGTAAAGATTTGTTTTCATTAAAAACCTCGCGTGCACAAAATAGCCCCGGTTGACGGTAATACCCAAGCAAAAATTGACAACTGGCGCAGTACTGCGCCAGTACTGCGCCAGTACTGCCCCGTACTGGCCGCCATGGTTGAACCAGTACTGGCATTTGACCGAAATGATAACGCTTTTCAGTACTGGATTGATGTTACTAGCGTAGTACTGGCAGCCAGTACTTGTTTAGTACTGGCGCAGTACTGGTTCAGTACTGGTTTAGTACCCGTGTAGAAAAATCTTCTGGCGCTGGCCTGAATCAGACCAGACCGTCTATTTTCCAATCTAGTGGAAAATTTATTTAAATTCAATGTTAATATAATAAAAAAAATTAATTTATATTTACAAACCTGTAATAATCCCCAACTTTTAACTTTTAATCAAATTAATGTTTACAACGCAGAAAAACGCAAACCTATAACGAAATCAAATTTGACACTGCGAGGAATCGAACCCACGACCTACGGACTTTTAGCCTAACACTCTAACCACTACCCTATCGAAGCTACAGGACAATAAATTTTAATTTTCGACACCTTTTATACTTACAATTATTAATAAAGAGCGTTTAACTGTGTGATTTAGTTAAATTATTATTTAATTGAAATAAATTCAAAAAAATCAAATTAGTAAATTACCTAATAAATTTCCATAAATTACCTCTAAAATATCCGTAAATTACCATAAATTACCAACGTTAAATTTTTTAGGTCTAATTTGTGTTTTACATATTTTAATAATTAAAGTATCGTCAAAATGTTTATAAATTATCTCATAAATTTTCATAAATTACCATAAATTACCAACGTTAAATTTTTTAGTTAAAAATTTATCGTCAAAATTTTTAAAAATTATCTCCTAAATTTCCATAAATTACCTATGTTAATTTTTTTAGTTCTCGTTTGTGTTTTACATAGTTTTATAATCTATCGTTAAAATGTTTATAGATTACCGCATAAATTTCCATAAATGACAGAAATCCAAAATTTTAATGATAATTTTTGCTTTACATATATATTTACGAATTATTGCGAAAATTTCTATAAATTTCCATAAATTACAGCAAAAATTTCCATAAATTGCTAAAATAAAAATTTTTAATTGTAACTTATGTGGAACATATTTTTATGAATTATTGCAAAAATTTCCATAAATTACTGCATAAATTTCCATTAATTAGTTCCTAACTGACTATTGTCAGTTTACCGTGTTAGCAATACTGGCACAGTACTGGCGTAGTACTGGCACAGTACTGGCATAGTACTGGCATACCAGTCTTAAAAGGCAGTACTGGCGTAGTACAGAAATTTTATTGAAGCCAGTACTGAACCAGTACTGGCAAGCCAACTGCTGGCATGCCAGTACTGGTGCAATACTGCGCCTGTTGTGAATACTGGCATTTGACAGAAATTTTTGCTTGGGATACTTTTTAAGCGACGTAATTCCAAGCTTAAGATTTTCTGAATTTATTTCGTAGGTTCTAAAAAGTAAAACAATATATAATATTATTAAAGTATTTCAGTTTTCCAAAGCTAGATAATTAGCTATTTATAAACATTGAAAAAACCTAATTTAAAAATGAGTAGCGTACGCTAACTCATAAGGTTGAAACGAAAATAAGACTTTTAAATAGCGCCACGTTCTATATGGCGTTTAACATTGTCTCATTTTGAGATGCAACAAAAATGTGACTGGGTTTTTTGTGTAATGGTTGGTAGTACATTGTGCCACTTCACTATTCTTTGTAAATGTCCTGTGAAAATGCCTATCAAGTGCGCAATTTGTTATCAAAAAATGGTATTCCTTTGACCAACCAGAGGTAAAAATAAATATAACACAGTGTAATTTCTTCTTTTAGTATAAATAAATATGGATAAAAAATGTTCACTTCAAAAAATATTATTAAGGGATAATATTGGACAATTTTAAATAAGAAATGCCCGTATGTAAGTCCACTTTAGATGCCTTTGGGAAACAGCTATGCGAGTAGCATTTTAAAACAGCGAGTTACGTCCGTTATAATATACTTCTATTATGTGAAGAAATGATAATTAATTGCAGAAAAAATAATGTGAAAATTTAATGTTTCTTTAATAAAAAGTTCCTATTTCGTGAGATTTACCTATAGAAAACTGTTCTATTTTTTAACTACATATATTTAAAATAAAAACTTATAAAAGATCTTTCCAGAATATAATAAACTGTGTAGATTCTTGCCTACTCTCTAAATCTGAATTAGTAAAATTCTACCAAGAAATAGGAAAATTTTACTAATTTTTAGTAGTTTTCATGGAAGACTTCTCCTTTTCAATTAGCAGAGTATTATTAATTGTTATTAAAATTTTACTTATTTTTTAATAGAATTTCACTATTTGTTTGTCATCTATCTCACTAAATAAATTAGGGAAACCGTTTTATCGACTATTAATAAACAGTTCTACTGTAGAATTCTACTCAGCAATTAGTACATAAAATTCTACTAACAAAAGATAAATACTGAAATTACTGTTAAATAAGTTTATTGCCCATTTGATTAATACTAGTCAGGAGTGTTGCATTTTCTGCTTTATAGCTTTTCGTTTGAAAATTGGTTCCTCCAGCGTTTTCTGGGTCACTGATTACCAATCCTGTTGTGTTAGTTTTTTAAAAATTTCAAATGTCCCGATTAATGAATTTCAAGCGATCTTTATTTTTTCCTAACATGTAAGGTCAGTTTTTTGTAATTTAGCTTGAAAATTTAGAGGTTAATACTTTAATAAAATATAAATAATTCGTCCATAAAAACTAACTAACGGAATGGTTAATTTTTATGAGATCGTTTTCCCTCTATCGATTGATAGATTAATTAGGATAATAACATTAAATTAACTTTACATTTCTTTTTTGTTGTGGCTTTAATGTCCTTATAAAAAAATATAATATTATAGTATTATACAATGTATTTTTTTGCTTAATTAGTGAGTCGCTAAACCTATATACCGCACGTCAGAAGGTCTGAAATAAATTGGCCAATAGTAAGTATATCATTGTTTTTTCTTATTCTTATATATCAAACAATTCAAGTTGACGCACAATTCTATCCAAAACTGAATAAATTCAATTGGTTGTTTAATAAACTTTGTTCACCCCCAATTAATTCTTCGACTGTGAATTAACTTTCACTTCCGACTAATCGGTAGAGTAACTGCAAAAGATAAATATACCTACGAAATACATGTATACTTTTGATTATCTATGTCCCTAAAGTTTTTATCGTTCAAATGAACGAAATTTATTTATTACTTTTTCAAATTTTATTATTGAGTCACGTCTTAAAAAATAATTTATTAATTTTTAAAGAGTTTAATTTTTTTTATTTTACTATAGGCAGTCAGTAATTTTTAATGTAATACTGAAAAAATATTTCGATTATATGAACTTTCATCATTTTTTAAACATTATTATCGTTGCGAAAACTGACC